TGACAGCTTTGTAGTAGAGCTTGAAGTCTGGAATTGTGATGCCACCAACTTTGGCTTTCTTTTTCAATATTCCTTTGGCTATTCGAGGTCTTTTTTGGTTCCATATAAATTTTAGGATTATTTGTTCCATTTCTTTGAAAAAAAATGGATGGTACTTTGATAGGAATTGCATTAAATGTGTAGATTGCTTTAGGTAGCATAGACATTTTCACAATATTTATTCTTCCAATCCAGGAGCATGGAACATTTTTCCATTTCTTTGTGTCTTCCTCAATTTCTTTCATGAGTACTTTATAGTTTTCTGTGTATAGATTCTTAGTCTCTTTGGTTAGGTTTATTCCTAGGTATCTTATAGTTTTGGGTGCAATTGTAAATGGGATGGACTCCTTAATTTCTCTTTCTTCTGTCTTATTGTTGGTGTAGAGAAATGCGACTGATTTCTGTGCATTGATTTTATATCCTGACACATTACTGAATTCCTGTACAAGTTCTAGCAGTTTTGGAGTGGAGTCTTTTGGGTTTTCCACATATAGTATCATATCATCTGCGAAGAGTGATAGTTTGACTTCTTCTTTGCCGATTTGGATGCCTTTAATTTCCTTTTGTTGTCTGATTGCTGAGGCTAGGACTTCTAGTACTATGTTGAATAGCAGTGGTGATAACGGACATCCCTGCCGTGTTCCTGACCTTAGCGGAAAAGCTTTCAGTTTTTCTCCATTGAGAATGATATTTGCGATGGGTTTTTCATAGATGGCTTTGATAATATTGAGGTATGTGCCCTCTATCCCTACACTTTGAAGAGTTTTGATCAGGAAGGGATGCTGTACTTTGTCAAATGCTTTTTCAGCATCTATGGAGAGTATCATATGGTTCTTGTTCTTTCTTTTATTAATGTGTTGTATCACATTGATTGATTTGCGGATGTTGAACCAACCTTGCAGCCCTGGAATAAATCCCACTTGGTCGTGGTGAATAATCCTTTTAATGTACTGTTGAATCCTATTGGCTAGTATTTTGGTGAGAATTTTTGCATCTGTGTTCATCAAGGATATTGGTCTGTAGTTCTCTTTTTTGATGGGATCCTTGTCTGGTTTTGGGATCAAGGTGATGCTGGCCTCATAAAATGAGTTTGGAAGTTTTCCTTCCATTTCTATTTTTTTGGAACAGTTTCAGGAGAATAGGAATTAGTTCTTCCTTAAATGTTTGGTAGAATTCCCCCGGGAAGCCGTCTGGCCCTGGGCTTTTGTTTGTTTGGAGATTTTTGATGACTGTTTCAATCTCCTTACTGGTTATGGGTCTATTCAGGCTTTCTATTTCTTCCTGGTTCAGTTGTGGTAGTTTATATGTCTCTAGGAATGCATCCATTTCTTCCAGATGTCAAATTTGTTGGCATAGAGTTGCTCATAATATGTTCTTATGATTGTCTGTATTTCTTTGGTGTTAGTTGTGATCTCTCCTCTTTCATTCATGATTTTATTGATTTGGGTCCTTTCTCTTTTCTTTTTGATAAGTCTGGCCAGGGGTTTATCAATCTTATTAATTCTTTCAAAGAACCAGCTCCTAGTTTCATTGATTTGTTCTATTGTTTTTTTTTTTTTGGTTTCTATTTCATTGATTTCTGCTCTGATCTTTATGATTTCTCTTCTCCTGCTGGGTTTAGGGTTTCTTTCTTGTTCTTTCTCCAGCTCCTTTAAGTGTAGGGTTAGGTTGTGTACCTGAGACCTTTCTTGTTTCTTGAGAAAGGCTTGTACCGCTATATATTTTCCTCTCAGGACTACCTTTGTTGTGTCCCACAGATTTTGAACCATTGTGTTTTCATTATCATTTGTTTCCATGAATTTTTTCAATTCTTCTTTAATTTCCTGGTTGACCCATTCATTCTTTAGAAGGATGCTGTTTAGTCTCCATGTATTTGGGTTCTTTCCAAATTACATCATTACTTTTGATTTGGTGTTCCAAGGTTCATTGTTTACCTATTGGGTTATTTGGTTTTTACTTTTGAATTTCATGAGTTCCTTGTATAAGTTGGATATTAATGTCTTATGGATGTGTGGTTTACAAATATTTTCTCCCGCTGCATCGGTGATCTTTTCATTTTGTTGATGCTTCCTTGTGCTGTGCAGAACCTATACCTTATATGCCAAAAAATAAGAAAGGGCTTAAAAATTGGTAGAAAGGATAAAAAAAGGACGTGGGATCCAGCTTGAAGGGCTCCCAGTAGATAAATCTGGGACAGTTCGTGCATCGAAACAGTAAAGATAATATCAGATTCTATCCCATTAAATAAAAAGGGAATCTATGAAGTCATGATGATATAAATAAATGAATGAATGAATACATAGGTGGAGGAGAAAAGATGCTTTTACTTTTTACAGCGAAATGCCCACTAATAATGGGCACTTATTAATTATTAGGTATAATATAATTTACAGTGTAGACACCTTGTGGAGACTTTCTAAAGCAGGTGATAGAGTTTAATATCCTTCATGATGGGACATGTTGGCAGCAAACGCCTCCCGATATGATGTACTGAGAACAACACAGCATCACTTCTGTGAGATTCCTGCTCTAGTTCATAACCTGACCCTAATCATCAGGAAACATCAGGAAACCCACAACGAGGAACCATCAGCCGGGTATCCATGGTATTCAAGATGTTTAGGTCAGGAAGGACAAGAAAAGCCTAAAGAGGTGTTCCTGATTGAAAGCAACTAAGAAGGCATCCCAACTAACGAAACAATTCTAGGTCTTGGGACTATGAAGGACATTATTTGCAAAGTGGGCAAAATTGGAAAGAAGGTACGATTACCTGGTTGATTTTGTGTCCGTTCGTTTCTGCTTTGATCACGCGGGAGAGCATCCTTGTTTCTAGTAAAATCATTCTGAAGTACAAAAGGATGATGAGACATCATATTTGCACCCTGCTCTCAAATGGTGCTGGAGAAAAGTAGTACATTTATATCTAGTTATCTCCCTGTCTATCTTTAGAGACAGAGAGGGAGGGAGCGAGAGAATGATAAATTAGAGCAAAGGTGGTAAAATGCTGACAGGTGGGGAATCTGGATGAGAGAGGCGGAAGTCTTTGGGCTCTTCTGACAACCTTTCTGAAGGATGAAATGCTAGAAACAGCAATAAACTGGACGAGACCCGCACACACGGGAGCAAGGAGCGGAGCTGGAGGCAGGAAGGCATCTCAGGAAGGGTTGGAGTGACTGAGGAGGAGCCCTGGCAGGGGGCGTCAGATCTCTTATCTGATAGATTTGGAGAAAGATCACCCAAGAAACAGACTTAACTACAGAGAACAAACTGCTGGGGAGGGTGGGTGAGGGGTGGGTGAATCAGTGATGGGGATGAAGGAGGGCACTGGGGGTGAGCACTGGCTGCTGTATGCAAGTGTTGAATCCCTCTATTGTACACCTGTATGTTAACTGGCTGGAATTAAAATAAAATAAAAATAAAAATATAAACAAACAAATACATAAATAAAAATAAAAAGTTACAAAGTAATCATCCATTTTCCTTTCTTTGCTTCATTCAGTCCTCAGGTTAAATCTGCTCCCCATGGGGCTAGATACTCGTCTTAGCCTCCCTTTATAAAGAAACGGGGCGAGGGGGTCAGAGACCCATCCATTCAACCAGCATTTAGTAAGCTCTCACTGCAGTCCGGTTTTACCATGGCTACGCAAAAAAATGTTGTGTGATTGCAGATGTGTGTGTGTAAACCAACACAGGAAGGAGATGCCCTGTGACATTAGTGTGCTAAGAGACACTGCACGCAGGTAGTGGCGACTGACTACAAATGCTTCTCGTTTCTTCTTTGGCCTTCTTATCTGTTTCCAGTTTTCTACAATGAACATTATTGCCTTTGTGACAAGTTAAAACATAAGGGTTCTTTCAGAAATGGACCTGGAGGAGGTCGTCATGACAACCTTTCTCGTTAGGACCGTTTTGTGGCTCAAACATTGTTTCTTGATGCCGTCTTATCTGACCAAAGTGGCAGACAAATGTTTTTTTAATTCCATTATGCCTTCTCCTCTCCATGCTGCAGAGACTAACTGGCAGGTTTACAAGTGGAAAACTGATTTCCCCGTTGACTCCCAAAGTCTGGATCTGTCCCCATTTTCTGGGTGGAAACATAAGCCCAGGGCAGTGTGACCGTCTCCTTCCCAGATAAAAACTATCCAGACCTTCATGATACCGGCCTCTTTACACAAAGAAAGCACGCCTACATAGTAGGTCCCTGCATGATGGGGAGGGTGGCTGGATAAAAGCACAATTTCAGGGTCCAAAAAGAGAGCAGCCAGCCCAGTGATGTCACTGTGCTGTAAGATGGGACACCCACTCCCTCAGGGTACTTTCTGACTGATGAATTCCTTCATCCCCTTTGCTGCCCAGCGCCATGGACTCCACCACAGTCCCACTCACCCTGGCGGGTGTCTCCAGGTGTCCCTGTACCTGTGTGCCTCCCATGGCTCAGAGAACTCAGAGAAGTCGACACTCGTCACTGCTAGATTGAACTGACTTGTGCAAACAATAATGGGGAAATGGGTGGCATAAATTAGGGTGTAGCCCTGCTGTGGAACACAGTGCAGCCTTCAGAAAAAGTGCTTTAATATGATTTATTCACCTGGGAAAGTGACCCCAGCATACTGCTACTTAAGAACAAAAAACAGCAAGAGTACAGTTGAAGTCTGTCTTTGTCATCATCGTAAATACACACAGGAGATAGCAAACACCAAACTAACAGAGAATACATAGAAAAGGGCATAGTTGTTGTCTTTGGGTAGTGAGAATTGGGCGTTTTGGGTGTTTTCTTTTCCCCCTTTGAGTTTTTAGGCTGTTTTGTTGTTGTTGTTGTTATTTGGAAAATGATTTTTAAAGAAATACACGTCCTAGGGAAAAGGGAAGAAAGAAGTGATGACCAGGAGGTCTCTGGTGAGAGATCAGGTGTTAAGGACATGGAGGGGAAATATGTTTCTTTGAGTTAAGGGTCCTCTCAACCTTCCACGTGAGGGTGAGTCCCCACCTCACCCCCTTCCCTCTCAGCCTCAGACACTGTCAGCTTGCACACCAGGTCATTTTTTCCTGCGGATGGGTCCAGGGTAACAGCCGGAGCCCAGATTGGTAAAACCAGAAGGCTTGCATGGGGAAGCGGAGGAGGGAAATCGACCCTCTCTCCTTCTGCCCGATATTAGTTTCTGCAATAAAGCCAGCAGAATGTACTCCTGCCTCATCCAATTTACAAGGAAGGGAGATTCTGGAAAATATTCAGAAAGAAGAAACTGGTAAATGGAAATAATGACTCCCTCCCCTCTGTGTCTATTTCAAGAAGTCAAATGTATTGTGCACGTGGTCTGTGTCTAGACCATGGCCTGGATTGTTTGGTTTTTGCAAATGTAACGATTCTGGCCAAGAGCTTTCTCCATTCCACTGCCGAGGGCTGTTCCCCAATCCTATTTCCCACTAGGGCTCGAGATGTTCCATCATAGAGTCCTCTGTTCCTCGGGGTTTCTAAGAGCCTGAAACCTGCAGGGGGCATGGGGTGGGGGTAGATGAGGGTGGGGAGGAGGCTGCTGGCTCCTGCAATGCTCAGATTGGAGTCAGCAGGAAATCCCCACTTCCAAGTTCACTGGTGGTGGGGGCAGGGGCAGGGGCCCGAGATGCTCAGTGGCACTGTTTACAAATGTTAATGCTCACAAATCATGAAATCCCATTTGGGCCCAAGCTCTTCCCTGGAACCCTCTGTTCCAGTCCTCTGGAATGTCCCATTTCACTCATTCACTTCCTTTCTACCAGGGAGGAGTTCTTGGAGATGGCTCAGTCATCCCAGAAGTGATTTAGTCTAGACTGCTTTTAAACTCACCCCCACACGGCTGCAATTCCACACTGTGCCAGGTGTCCCAGCCTGCCTTGGCTTGGGTCAGCGTGCCTGGCAGGTCACCTTTGCTGGGTCCCAGATCAGCCTCCAGGGGCCCGAGTCAGAACCCAGCGGAGAGTTCCTGCTCTGCGGTGGAGGGCGTCACAGAGCTGGCCCTCTCGAGTCTGTCCGTGGAGAGGAAGGGGAGCCTTTTAACCAAGCTCATGGATAGCAGCTGGCGCAGGTACCTGCGGAACCGCTCCCCGACGAAGGCGTAGATCACGGGGTTGACACAGCAGTGCGTGTAGGCGATCACCTCCGTCACCTGGATGGCCAAATCGAGCTGTTTGCTCTGCCTGCACTCATCGGCGAAAAGGCTGTCTTGGAAAGCAGAGACCAATATGGCCAGGTTGTAGGGGGTCCAGAAGAGAAAGAAGACCACCATGATGACAAAGATCAGACGGACGGCTTTGGCCTTCTTCTCATTGGGTCGTTTGAGCAGAATCCGTATGATCTCGGTATAGCAGATGATCATGACCAACAGGGGCAAAACCAGACCCAACATGTTCAGTTTCAGAGCCTGGAACTGTTTCCAGGCTTTGAGGGTTTCATGAGGGAAGTGGAGGCTGCAGGTGGTGTGGGAGAACTCCCACTGGATCTTGGAGAAGTAGAAGCCTGGGACGGAGGCCAAGAGGGCCAGGGCCCACGCGCCACCGCTGGTGATGAGACCAAAGATGACGGTCCGAACCTGCAGGGCAAACACGGCGTGGACGATGGCCAGGTACCTGTCCACGGTCAGCAGGATGATGAAAAAGATCTCACTGTACAAGCCCGTGTAATAAAACCCCGAGAGCAACTTACAGGTGCCATCACTGAAGTTCCAGTCATCCTTCAGCTTGTAGTCGATCCAGAAGGGCAGCGTGAAGAGGAAGAGCAGGTCAGAAATGGCCAGGTTGAGGAGGTAGATGCTGGTCATGCTCTTGAGCCTCTTGTGCTGCATGAGGACCAGCAGCACCAGGATGTTGCCGACCAGGCCGATGATGAACACCAGGGAGTACAAGGGGGGCAGCAGCTGGGCTCCAAAGGCCCTCACCTCTCCCTTCTGGCATGGGGTTATGCCCTCATAGTCATATTCTGTCGTCATGTCATAGTTCTTTGTGGGGGCCGAGGTTTCCATCGTGGATTTTTGCACGAGTCAAGGAAGATGATTTCTGTGGTTACTTGGCCAGGAAATGCGGTGGACTGCGGACAACAAAGACGAGGCGGTGATTACAGGTTTTCACCCACCTGACAACTGTTTACTGAGTACCGACTATGTACCAGGCCCCGGGACTCGACCTTGAGCAAGGTGGGATCCAGGTCCTCTCTGCCCTTGTGGACCCTGTGGTCTAACAGAGGGTGTAGGCAGTAAACAAATGGGCCCATCAGTCATTAATTCAATTACTTTGGCACTAAGTGTCGTGAAGGAAAAGGCTACCAGCTGCACAGCACAGACAGAGGGAGATCCCGCCACGCTGCCCCGAACCAGTGCTATCCATGGCCTTGGCATTGAACTTAGTGCTAGATAACTCCTCCCACCCCGACCAGAGGGGGTTCTGCTATCATTCCCTGGTTTAGAGGTGATGATGCGAGAGTCAGAAGTGGTAAGGACACGTATCTAGGAGAATGAGAGCTGAAGTTGTTCTTGCATGCATTCCTGAAGCCACGTGCATCCTTGTGTCCAATCACGGAGCAATGATTTTGCACTGTGGGGTCTCTGGAAGGAAGCTGAGAGTCCCAGACTTGCAAATGGGACTTCATGGCTGAGGGGGCTAGAAAGGTTCTCAGCCAGGGATTATGTAGCATGGTGGGGGCACATGAAAGTGTGTAGGGTTATTATTTTATTTTATTTATTTTATTTCTTGGTTGCCACTGTGACTAGGGGATGCTACCATCTGGTCATTCAGTAGGCAGGGCCAAGGATGTTCTCTAAAGCAAAAATTATCGTATCCCAAAGGCCCATAGTGCTGTCATAGTGAAATTCTAGAAGGCCAGCCCCATCCTTTAGTATAAGAGGACCCTGAGGACACCAAAGCAGGTCAGCTTGGCTCACGTCATACAGCCTTGATGGGGCCCACGTGGATCTACAGGTCACTCAGTAGACCTCCCGTGAGGGCCGTGAGGAGGATTCAGAGGACTGTATAGTCTGGGAGGAGTGGGGCAACCTCATGAGAAGAAGAGTTGGGGGTGGGCAGGGGAAGAGCTCAGAACAGCCTCGAGCCATGAGACATCATGCGATGACCGGTAGCTGGAGTTCTGCTGAGATACGCTCTGAGATATTTTTACCCAGGGTTGGCTTGAAACAAAGAAAAACAAAAGAACCACTAGAGAGCTTGACTTCATGGGACTTTCCCAGCCCCCGATTTTCAGCATTTGTTTTCCATCCTTTCCACTTACGACAGAAACCTCCCTGAAGGGAGCATGGGCTTTCGTAGAACCTACCAGTGTGTGACTTTGGATGAGTTAATCTACCTCTCTGAACCTCAGTTCCTCATCTGTATAGGTGGGGCTGAAACGAGCACCTCAGTTCCTCATCTGTAACGTGAGAAAGTCACACCTTGCAGGACTACTGTAGTGTGTGAGAAAAGCTACCCCCTAGTACTTACCGGGCCCTCAGCAAATCTTGGGGTTCCTCCTTCCCTGCACTGATCCCTCTCTGGGGCCAGTCCCCAGCTCCAGTCCTGTTCTGGCTGATGTACCCTGCTCCCCAAGTTCCCCCACCCGTTCTCTCTGTAGTTAATCTGGAAAATGAATTCTCAAGAGTGATGAACCAGGACAGTTCCTTCCATGCGAACTGCCCTTTGAAATTTTCAGTAGGTTCCCACCAGTCTGAAAAGTAGCCAGTTCCTACATCATAATTCCCACCCTGAATCTGGGGTCTCTAGCACTCTTCCTTCTAAATTGCTTAATGAATGTTTTCTTCCTACAAAATTGGAAAATGGCCATTGGAAAATGAGGCACATGGGGTTGGGGTTGGGGGGGTGACAGTGTCATACACCCTGGCTGGGGGACTGTCATTTCCAGTCAAATCCCCCCCTTATGGCCAACTCCTCCAGCTCTGGACTTTCCTCTACCCAACCAGCCCTACTTCTGGAGAAACCCAGGCTGACTGTGCAAGCTGTGTGAACGATTTCTGATTTCCCGTCCGAATAAGGACAGGTCGGCTTTGCGGACAGCATTTTTGGGTGGGCTGGCAGGTTTTCAGCAGAAGTTCCAAGCAGCTTGGAAGCCCAAGGAACAACTGGTGCAAGACTGAGCCCAGGAGCCCAGTTTCTGGGGAATTTTGGCAAAGGTGAAGGCAAACGGAGTCAGCATGGCTCATGCCATTTGAGCAGAGAATTGCTTACACCAGTCCCCTCCCCCGTACACTTCTAACTGCAATAACTATTTTGCCAACTTGCCAGGCACCACACAACAACTCTGGGAGAGAGATGGCCTGGCATGGGGCTATGGAGGGAGGCAGAAGGACCCTGTTGCCATCCAGCCCCGCTGGAGTCTGCTGCAAAGTCCGCCCCAAGGCCATTGCTCAGCAGACAGCTGGAGCCCTCGACGCCACCTGGGACCTTGCAAGGGCAGCATCCTCTAGCCTGGGAATTGGTGAAGGCCTTGAGCAGAGAAAGGGCAGTCTGCAGGGATAAGACACCCAAAAGGGTGGTGTGCAGGGGCTGGCTTATCCTGGTTCATAAAAAACCAATCGTGTGCTTATCTCCCCAGCTTAACATTCAGGGGCTCTATAACTTGAAATCAACCATAGTGAGGATATTTACACCATAGAAATCCACAAACACTAGAAATCAGCCCCCCCCCCCCGAAAGCCACTTGTTAAACATTTACCGGTCCTTCACTCCCCACAGTCTGCATAGTCTAGAGCTGTCCTGCTAGTCAGATTGGGGACTGAAGTGCCAGTAAGTGGTACACAGCCTGACGAAAACCTATGCAAACTTCCGAGTTTCTAACTCTGAAAATCTGGGCCACTCCAGAGTTTATGGAGGAAAAGTTGAAATAGATACCTCCAAGTAGCCCCCATGCCCCTCTCTCCTCAGAGAAAATTCTGACCCGCCTCTTTGTTAGTAGAGCAGAATGGATGCATCCCAAGAGGACATCTCCCTGCCTTCGGGAGGGTAAAATCCTACCTCCTCGAAAGACAAACCAGCAGTCCTGATTGTAAGGCTCCTTGGGTCTAAGTCTTCTCAAGAAACTGGTCCAGTATCAAATCATCCTCGCATCTGCAACGTTTTTTTCTAATTAGTATTTCCCTTTCGCTACAATTTCTTCATACACCGTGTTTGGTTTTTGTTTACACAGACCAGTTTGGCAAGTGATTTCCTCTTGAATGGTTTTTCAGAGATCCTCTTGTTCTTAACTGACTTTAGAAAGGCAGATTTTCTCAATCAGTCACCAAAAACCCATCATTCAGGAAAGCTTTCCTTTTTTAGCAAAAAACAAAAACAAAAACAAAAAAAAACACAACCATTTTACATCTGAGCACCCCATCTTATAAATTCACCCCTTGTGAGTATTGCTATACAATTAATTGCCTTATAGGTGCATTGATGGTCTACTTAGGCGTTTGCTTGACCCTCGAAGAACTCCTCACCTTTGAGGAGGCAGGTAAAGAATGTCCTGCAACACGAGGACCCCAGTCCCACCTGGCTGCATGCATGACAGCAAACCAGATTGACCTCATGGTCACTGAGGAGACAGAACAGACAAGTGCCACTTACTCTGGTCCCTAGGGGTTTTGTCCACGAAGTCTTTATTTCTGGAGCTTTTAGAATCTTTATGAATTCAAGGTTCAGCGTCCTTACACAGCAGGAAGTCTTCTGTTTCCTGTGTGATGACTGAGGACTCCAGGGTTCACAGTCTTTCAGAATGACAAGAAGGGGATAGAGTTCTTCTTTTTGTATCTGGTTGGGTGTCCGTGAGTGGCCACGACACCTGCCAGTGGCTGTTCCTTGATGCTGGGTTTGCTCGAAGGATTGTCTCTGCTCACAGAGATCGTGAGAGTGATTGAAAGCACAGAAAAAGGATTGTGCTTCTCCCTCGGGAGCTCTGCCTTAAGGGGACTGGGCTGGGTGGGGTTGGGTGGAGTTGAGAGGGGGAGAGGTGGTATGAGGTGTTCTGGGAATTTGTGAAGCAATTGAAGGCTGAGATTATGCGTGTGTGTTGAGGGTTGTGGGAGGGCGGGGTGCGGACGTCTTGTGGTCAGTGAGGAGCCTTTTTTTTCTTAAAGCTTGCAAATGGAAGGGTTTAAACCAGAAGTCTGGGTCCTGTTCCTCAAAATGAGAGGGCTGATAGCCCAAGAGAAGTGGCATTTTTCTCTTTGGCGCCCCCCCTAGGTCCTTCACCTCTGACCATTTGCTGTCCCTCTCTGCACCCCATTCATTGTGGGACCAAACCCCACTGAATAGTTTCACCTCAAGGAACCCCCAGCCTGGAGTGAGCCCAGGTCTCTAGGTTGGGTTTTGGCCTTTCCTTTCTGATTCCAGGTTCCTGTTGTGTGTGATGATCCAACCAGAGGCCAGGGCCAAATCCCAGCTTGGTCCTGGAGACAAGGGCAGGTAAGGATGCCTTGATAAGTCTTGGCTCCCGCTCTATCGAATGAGAAGGCTGAACACTTTGGCTCGTAGCGGGATGCCCCAGGTCAGCTTGTAGGTAAAGGGTGTCCCAGAGCACCTGGCCCAAGAGAAAATGTCTGATGGAAGATGCCTCTTGTGAATTTCCCCGAGGCGGCCAACACCTGCTCTGCCACTGAGCTTGCAGCCCGCTGGGGTTTTGCTCCTTTTCCGTAACACAGGACTCCGCTAGGCCTTCTTCACAGATTGTGCAAAGCACCAGTTCAGAAAGGGATGCCTGTGTGCTTTGGAAATGTCGCTTGTCCCCTCAAGGCTGTTTCCTGATCCGTAAAATGAAGACTTTAGACAAGGTCTTCAAAGGAACATTCCATGAGTCTCCTGGGATCGGGTCTCCCCTCTTCAGCAGCCTGTCCACAGAGAGATGGGGGAAGAGGGAGGCCAAAGGTGACCAGATGGACCAAGAGGGAGACGGGCCCAAGAACTTGCTGCCTTTGTGCGGAGAGCAGGGCATGAGGGGCGCGCTCTGATGAGCCTGGCAAACCAGACCTGCATCTCATCCTGGGTCCACCTCTTGGTAACTTTGAGTGTATTATTTATGCTTTTGACGGTCTCTTTCCTCTTCTGTAAAACAAAGTTAATGATGCCGACTTTCTAGAGGATTAGATGAAGATGGAGACATGCCTGTGAATGAATGGTTTGGTGGAGTGCCTGAGACGTGTTCGATGCCTGTCTTAATTTGGGGTTCCCGGTTAGGTGCAAAGCCTGGAGTGGAATGCAGACACAAGTAGTGTATTTTCAGAGGATCCTAGGGAGCACTGCAGGGGAGGGGAAAGCGGGCCAGGGAAGGGAATGTGATGATGAGGGTAGCACTGTAGAAGGCAAGTGGCACCCTGGCCTTAGGGGTAGCTCAGGGAGCCCCCAAGAGTCACCCCTACTGTGGGACCAGAGGTGAGGAGACCAGGCATGTATCTATTAAATCTCTACCTGCCCATCGCTGGCAGAGGACTCCTTCTCATTGGCTTGTGTCACTGAATATCATTCCCAGGAGATTCTCCACCAGGGCACAGGGCTGGTCCTTTAGGTACTGGCCATCGCCCTAGACATAGCGGGGACAGGTAGAAGTATCAGTAAGGTGCACACCCCAAGATTCTGACCTTGACTTCGCCTAGGTATCTGACTCCTTCATTTGGCACCCCCTTCATTTGTGTCAACCCCTGACCTAGCCTGCTGACCCTCTCCTTTCATCTCACACACTTCCATTGTGTGGGATTTTGACATCGGATGTTGACCCCGCCATTTCTGCTGCTCCTATCCTGTCTCAACCTCAACATCCCAGAAATCTCATGCTCTGTTTAATCAAGACAGGGCAAGGCCAGGCTCATGGACTGCGTGGAGCCTGATTCTCATGGAGGCTCACTCTTCAGGTTCAAGTGGTACACCTGTAGCTAAATTTCCAAGAGGGACTGGCAGTGCCAGGACCATGGAGCTCTGTCTGCTGCCCAATGTGTCATCTTCTCTCCCCTAAGTTCTGCTTGTTTCTCTACTGTGCTGTGTCACGTCCCAATGTCATCGAGGGTGTTGGCCACACCCATGACCCTTCTCCTCCCGCCTGGATCGTGCAAGATGCCACCTCCTCTCTTGAAGCCTTCCCACGCTGCAGCAAGAAGTCCATCCGGGAGGGGCAGACGCTGGAGCTCTGAGAGTTTTCTGGGGGAGTGGTGGAGGTCCCTTTGTTTACACCTGATGACATATGTTGGATACTTTTGACAATAAATAGCAAGGCAGTCCACTCGAAATAGTTCAAAATAAAAATGAAAAAAAGACTAAAAACTGTTCTTGTCTCACGAACTTAGATCTTAGCTAATAATCTCTAACATTCCCTTGTAATAATTCTTGATGATTTCACAATCCACACATGTCTGCAGCCTGACACCCTCACGCTTAGGGGCTTAACATCGCGCTGACACTGTGGCGTGAATCTGTGGGGCATGGGTGTCCCCGTGTGGCAGTGGGTACTGGTGTTCGACGGGGGGGTGTCCTAGTTTTCCACATGGCCTCCCGTCCTCCGGCTGGCTACACCAGCTTCCTTGCCTGGTGGTGGTGGTGATGGGTGGGGGTGGGGGGTCCTCAGACATAAGCAGAGACTGAAGAGTGTCTTCAGGCATAGCATCAGAAGTCACCGATGTCCCCTCAGCTGCATCCTGTCAGTCACAGCAAGTCACAGAGCCCAGCCACAACCAAGGAGTCGGGGGATGGAAGGAATGTTTCAGCTGGAGCCATCGAGTACACTGTAGAAGGCCATGTGCCCCAAGACAGGGGGGACCTGGAAGCCCTATTTTATCCTCCCCCAAAGTGCAGGTGTCCTCCAGCTCTGGGGCCAATGGGTTCCTTGAACTCCTCCCCTCCTCGGCCGTGTCTTCCACATTCCCCAGCCGCTCACTCCCGTGATCCTAACTCCTGGCTCTCCCCATCATACCATCTGCGGCCTTCATACCTCGGTCCCCAGCACCCCAGCCTCTGACCCCACTCCCTCCTTTCCTCCCTCCTGCACCGGTGGTTCTTGGATCCCAGTGGGTTGTCAGCTTTCCACAGACCATCTGCCTCCTCCTGCCTTTGCTGTCCATCATTGTAGTCCCTCCCTGACCTACACCCTCCCTCCCTTCCTGGGCTCCTTTCGGACCTTGTGGGGTCCGCCCAGCAACATCCAGTCCCGGGCAGAACCAGCGCCACACGCATACCCACGAATTTGAGCGTGGCCAGAGGGAACCCTGCAGGCATCCCGCCCGGGATGGTTCGAAAGGAATGGTGGCCCCACCGGAGGGCCCACGGTCACCCATGGGCAGTGTGATGACTCTGTCTATCTTTCTGACGCGCTCAGACCAGCTCTCTGGCCCGGCCCGGAGAGGGCTGCTAGCGACACCTCCAGGCATCGTGATGTCTACCAGAAGACAGGGCTGCCTCTTCCTTTCATCAGTTTAGAAGAAAAAGGAAGTTCCAGGGAGTTCTTTGAGAAAACAGCCCCTGGAGAGGTCGCTTCTCTCCAGTGAGCCCAGGGCAGGGCCTGGGTGACAGTCATCGGAGGGAGAGCCCCTCCTCCCCATTCTTCTGTCACAGGGCAATGCTCAGCAGGAAACAGAAACTGGAGGGCAGGGTTTGAAAGCTTAGAACCAACCGACAAGGGGAAGGATGAGCCCATGATCCTCATCTAGTCTCCTTCCTCTCCCCCTCCTGCCCACCAGACTCCCTAGTCTCCGGGGTGGTCGAGAGCTCCCCAGAGCCTAGCCGCTAAGCCTGTAGACGCAGCCCACCAGACCACGGCAGGTGGCAGGGGTAAGCGCCGGCAAGGACTGAGTAGTAACTCACTGTCAGGAGGCAGGGGTCTGTGAAGAAGGCGATCAAAACCTCTCGTGCCTCGGATCGAAGCTGCAGACCGTGAGGCGTATGCACCTGCCGCCTATCTCTTCTGAAAGCTGAACCCTGTGGGGAGGGGGAGGAGAGTACTCCTGCGGGCACTGGTTCCCTCCCACTCCATCCATCCCTCACCCAGGATGTGCCCTCTGTCTGTGTCACAGGCCCCCAGGTGAGTGAGGCAGGGCCTGGCACTCCCGTGTTCACCCCAGGGGGTGGCCTGCGAGCGGGCAGCATCAGCATCACATGGGAGCAGATTAAGAAGATTCTCCGGCCCCACCCCAGACCTGCCGAATCAGAATCCCCACGATTGGGTGTTGAACCCAAGAAGCTGGAAGCCCTCCAGGGCATCTTATTTATTATGCTGGAGTTTGAGAATTGTTGCTAGACACTTGCTGATTAATGTGTGATGGCAAGACCTGAACGCACTTCCAGAAATGCAGACCACGGGCCTGCGGAAGGAGAAACTGCGTTTTCACCAGATCCCCCCGGGGATTTGTTTGCACAGTATGGTGTGAGACACCCTGGTTCTAGAACGTCACGGTCCAGTGATTATATCTGTGTAAGGTTCAAGAGATGCCCAGAGGAAGGTGGGTGGAGTCCCAAAGCATCCTGCAGAGACGTTGACACCTAGTCCGGATGCCCCTCTGGGTGAAGAAGCTCGGTAAACACTGGGGGACTGCTTGTCGCTCAGAAGGAGAGCGCTAGCTGGGCTAGCTAGACAGATAGACACGACTTCCAAGCCCCACCCTGAAGCTTAGTGCGGCTGCCCTGGGCCCTGACCTCGTGTGTTGGTGAAGTTGAGGAAGTCACGCCTACCCATTGCTGGAGGGAGTAGAAATCAGGTCCCCCACCAGGGAGAACTGTTTGGCCATTTCCATTAGAAATCCAATGGGGGGGGCATCTGCGTGGCTCAGTGGGTTAAACCTCTGCCTTCGGCTCAGGTCATGATCTCAGGGTCCTGGGATCAAGCCCCACATTGGGCTCTCTGCTCAGCAGGGGGCCTGCTTCCTCTTCTCTCTCTGTCTGCCTCTCTGCCTACTTGTGATCTCTA